CTACTCCGAAGGTCCTGTGAGTAACATCTAGCTTGCACAAGTTGTGACTCATTAAGATAACGAAACAACATATTTTCTTTTATTTAATGCATATTTCTTCATGCTGCTTTACCTAAATGACAAAATTGCTATGCTAAAATAAAAAAGTGTTCAAAAGATTATTCTATTTATTATATTGTAGCTGTTTGCAGGACATAAATGCATAACTGAGAGTTTCATAATGATTGCGAGACAACAACGTTCAATTATTATTATTAGCTATCTACAACTGTAACACGCCATGACCTGGCCTGAATTTCCCAATCCTAAACCAATACCCTAAATCTGAACCAAAGAATTAGTGTAAATATAGGCACTTTTTGAGATTCCTTCTACCCTCAACAAATGTTTTAAGGTAGCTCCTTACAATTTCTTCAATAAATTGTCCTAATGATTGCTCATACTAGGAAAAACTTTTAATCAAATAAAAATTGGGGGCACCATTGTTGTCTTCGAATTAAACTAGTTTAAATGCAAATTAGCAGCCATTTTTTGAAATGCCATTGTTGCCATGGTAACCATAATTACGGACTTTTCCGTTACAGTTTCTGATTCTCAAAATACTGTTCTATATACATGACATCTGGTTTCATTCTTCTATAAAAATATCAATGTACAAAACTTTTTGGTCTGAGAGAAATTTTTCAAGAAACTGTATGGAGCCACCTTAAAGCGAATTATATATTCAAGTATGACGTATATGTTCAAGTATGACGTCATGGTACTGCATGTTAGATAAGACCCAGCTCGAATTGCTCTAAAATGTAGTTACTAGATGCGATACTGCATTCCAACAACGCTGAACATCTCTGACTCCAATAATGTAGTCGGTCTTCAATCTCTGAAGTTGATTTTCTAACCGTTGCCAGCGGCGACGCCTTCGTGTGGGTTGCCCACCGTTATCCATAGAACGGATGCCTTGATTGGTTTGAGCCTGAAGGTCCTTCAAATGCCTTATAAAGATCCACAAGTTGGGATGGCGTACTTGCACACGGTTGTTCCAAGCGCGATGAAAGCCTTAATAATAAAACCACTAAATTGAACAATTGCAAGTAATATATACGTGGACAAACGTGCATGAATATAAATAGGCAGTTATATACAGTTTTTCATGTCTTGAGTGTTGAGTTACGCTGCCACTTTTGTAGTTCTTGGAATGGTACCAAAAACATGAAAGTCTGTTTGTATCTCAGAGTTGATTCAATATAATTGTTATTTTTATATGGTTGTCATGGAAACACATTAGCAATCACGCCCATATGAACGACAAGATTTTAATGAGAATCACTTTAGAGATATCAGACTTTCGTCTTTTTGCTGCCATCTCAAACACAAATAGTGCCATCATGAGGACTGTCGAAGTACTGAAGAATTGTGAATACACGTAAATATATTGGCTGTTCCATCATTTAAATAAATAATAAAACAATTATTGATATGGAGAATTATCATGACCTCTGTTCCGGTTCGTGTTACTAAGCTCAACCTTAGGCTACGTTGATAACACAAACTTCGGCTTGATAATTCTACATATCATGCGAAAACCGAATCACAATAATTGATAAATCAACTGCAATTACCTTCAGCGTTATTGTTTGTACGGCAATCCATGTCACGATCGTACACATTCCACAAAGTTACAGGAAAGTTTCCATTGATGTAGTTGTTGAATACGTAGTTGAAAAACTCCACCAAACCTGGATATCTCCTAAACAATCGCCGTGTCCTATTTTCTGTGCGCAGTAATGCAAAGTTATTTCTCACGATGGCTGTTGGCAAAAAACCGATGGACATTACTTTTCTAATGAGCTTCTTCACACGCTCGTGGTTTCGATAGGCCCGGGTCAAACCATGGTCTTTGACATGGCGCCAGAGAGACTGGTTAAAATGAAAATAGCATCCCTCTATTCTGGTGTTAGGTAGTTTCGTCTGGATAGCAGTGATTAGGGCTTGCTCAAAATCGCACACAATTGCCTCGGGTTCCCATTCACTTCCAGTCGCACGCCGAATTTTACGCTGGAGAACTTGCAACACTTGCCTATAATGGCCAATAGCCCTATTTGTCATAAGTACGATGGCCAGTGGCAATACTCGTCCGTAGTACTCGCCAAGTATAGTGAAAACTTGCTCGTATGGTCGTGGGGCTGTGCGAAAAGTTGCGTCCATGTATAATTGTTGACATTGATCAAGCGCACAAAGATTTCTTCGAGTGCCGAAAATAGCGATGCCCCAATCATTGTCCTGATGTAGCAGGAACCTTTTGTTTCTCCATGATCGTGCCCAGGAACCTTCGATGTTGACGTCGTCGATATCTTGGGGCGTGTCGGGCACTTCAGCCGATTTCACCCTTGACATTTGTGACCGAACGGATTGAAAATCAGGAATTTCTTGATCGGATCCGCCAGCCTCTCTGTGAATTGCTGAAACGTGCTGGTCATAAACTCGCTTTATTGGTCTGGTTGGATCGTCTCGTACACTGCCTTTGGCATCGTTGAGAAAGATTCCTTTCTGTATAACGGCATCGTCTTCTTCGTGATCATGCTGCTCTCTCTCCACCACTCTAACGTTTGGATCTTCATCATTCCTGTCGAAGAGATTAGTCTTTAGTTTCGCGCCGCAAGTTGTTCGCCAACATCGCCAATGCATCGTCGATTGACTCTGTCGATTAAACTGATATTTAAAGCCGTCTTCAACTAGAACCCTTCCAATGCCTCTCGCACCCGTGATTATTCTAGCCATCCAATTCGACTCGCAGCGTGCTTGATCTTGATCCTAAACTAAACTCGACATTCAACTGACTAAAACTGCGATGTTACAAGCTTTATATATAAGCAAATTAAAACATCGATACTATAACATGATTGGCCGGATTGCTTGTTGAAGTGTTATAATTAAGAGTTGATGTTACTGTTCATCCAAAAGAGAGAAAGACTATAAGTCCTTACAAGCCAAGTGAATTACATTAACACAACTTTCATAATGTGCCATGCAGCTTAGTCTCAGCCGGAATCTTTGTAAAACTCTTATAAGTAAGAGTTTTGGTGTTACTGTTCCCCTAAGGAGAAAAAGCTTAAAAATAGAAAGCCTGAGTCCTTATAAGCCAAGTAAATTACATTAACATAACTTTCATAATGTGTCATGCAGCTTTGTCTTAGCCGAAATCTTTGTAAAACTGTTATAAGTAACAGTTTTGGTGTTACTGTTCCCCTAAGGAGAAAAAGCCTAAGATTAGAAAGCCTGAGTCCTTACAAGCCAAGTAAATTACATTAACACAACATTCATAATGTGTCATGCAGCTTTGTCTTAGCCGGAATGTTGGTAAAACTGTTATAAGTAAGAGTTGGCGTCTCTGTTTCCCAAAAGGAGAAGAGGTTATTAATATAACGAATTAGGATTTTTGGCATCTCGCTCGATAGATCTAATTGTAGACGGACATTTTCTAATGTAAATGTTATACATTTATTAGACAAAAATAGGAGAGTTGCGAAAAATGCAACAACTATATAGGCCCTCTGGCAGGCCAGATTTCGTGTAGCCTCCGATAGTCATTGAACATTATGAAAACAATGATTTCATCATTTTTACATTCTTATTAATATACACGGGCCGGGGATCTCTCTATTACCGCAGGTTTTTTTCCAAAATATTAAAATGTGACCGAGATATAGAAAAATATGTTATAACCACCGATTCTTTTGCCGCGAAAGTTGTAATTGTAATCGACAATATGCGGATAGATGTGATACTCGATACCGGATGTGTGACCTTCAACCTCGATTATGTCGTCCTGTGCACCACAAAGATTTCGTTTGGCCGATTTAGATCGCTCTATACCTATATGCCCTCTTTACATTTGTGTTTCGCCGGCATATTAGCAAGTTTTTTTGTCTGGTTTCTTGCATGTACGGTTTGTGATAAACTGATAATGAGTGAATGACACCGAAAACCCTTCCAATGATTTACACACCTTAATTTTTAATCTGATTACAGTTTAAGAGATGGTAGCAGAGAGCCAAAGACTGAAATATCCTCAAATTGTCCCCCCCCCAAAAAAAAAAGTCAAGAAACGCGCACGTTTTATCCGATTCCCTCCAAACTTTATCACATGATGTTTAACAATAGTACAGGAGCAAAACCGCGTTCGCGTTTTTGATTTAGTACCATACTTTTCAAGAACTTGATTTGGTCAACATCATGTGGCAACGTTTGGAGGGAATCGGATAAAATGTGCGCGAAAATGTCCGTCTACAATTAGATCTATCAAGTGAGATGCCAAAAATCTTAATTCTTTTTATCCATAACCTCTTCCCCTTTTGGGGAACAGTAACACCAACTCTTACTTATAACAGTTTACCAAGGTCAAAGATTCCAGCTAAGACAAAGCTGCATGATACATTATGAAAGTTATGTTAATGTAATTTACTTGGCTTATAAGGACTCAGGCTTTCTATTTTTAAGCTTTTTCTCCTTAGGGGAACAGTAACACCAAAACTCTTACTTATAACAGTTTACCAAGGTCAAAGATTCCAGCTAAGACAAAGCTGCATGATACATTATGAAAGTTATGTTAATGTAATTTACTTGGCTTATAAGGACTCAGGCTTTCTATTTTTAAGCTTTTTCTCCTTAGGGGAACAGTAACACCAAAACTCTTACTTATAAGAGTTTTACAAAGATTCCGGCTGAGACTAAGCTGCATGGCACATTATGAAAGTTGTGTTAATGTAATTCACTTGGCTTGTAAGGACTTATAGTCTTTCTATTCTTAGTCTTTCTCTCTTTTGGATGAACAGTAACATCAACTCTTAATTATAACACTTCAACAAGCAATCCGGCCAATCATGTTATAGTATCGATGTTTTAATTTGCTTATATATAAAGCTTGTAACATCGCAGTTTTAGTCAGTTGAATGTCGAGTTTAGTTTAGGATCAAGATCAAGCACGCTGCGAGTCGAATTGGATGGCTAGAATAATCACGGGTGCGAGAGGCATTGGAAGGGTTCTAGTTGAAGACGGCTTTAAATATCAGTTTAATCGACAGAGTCAATCGACGATGCATTGGCGATGTTGGCGAACAACTTGCGGCGCGAAACTAAAGACTAATCTCTTCGACAGGAATGATGATCCAAATGTTAGAGTGGTGGAGAGAGAGCAGCATGATCACGAAGAAGACGATGCCGTTATACAGAGAGGAATCTTTCTCAACAATGCCAAAGGCAGTGTACGAGACAATCCAACCAGACCAATAAAGCGAGTTTATGACCAGCACGTTTCAGCAATTCACAGAGAGGCTGGCGGATCCGATCAAGAAATTCCTGATTTCCAATCCGTTCGGTCACAAATGTCAAGGGTGAAATCGGCTGAAGTGCCCGACACGCCCCAAGATATCGACGACGTCAACATCGAAGGTTCCTGGGCACAATCATGGAGAAACAAACAGTTCCTGCTACATCAGGACAATGATTGGGGCATCGCTATTTTCAGCACTTGAAGAAATCTTTGTGCGCTTGATCAATGTCAACAATTATACATGGATGCAACTTTTCGCACAGCCCCATGACCATACGAGCAAGTTTTCACTATACTTGGCGAGTACTACGGACGAGTATTGCCACTGCCCATCGTACTTATGACAAATAGGGCTATTGGCCATTATAGGCAAGTGTTGCAAGTTATCCAGCGTAAAATTCGGCATGCGACTGGAAGTGAATGGGAACCCGAGGCAATTGTATGCGATTTTGAGCAAGCCCTAATCACTGCTATCCAGACGGAACTACCTAACATTAGATAGAGGGATGCTATTTTCATTTTAACCAGTCTCTCTGGCGCCATGTCAAAGACCTTGGTTTGACCCGGGCCTATCGAAACCACGAGCATGTGAAGAAGCTCATTAGAAAAGTAATGTCCATCGGTTTTTTGCCAACAGCCATCGTGAGAAATAACTTTGCATTACTGCGCACAGAAAATAGGACA